GGTGTTTTCTTTAGGGTGGCCTGAGGGTGTCACATACAAAGGAGGTGCTCAGTCTTTGGGCACTTGGAAATAACACTGTGCCCACTGGTGCCTGAGCTGGGCCTGAAGTTCCCGAGGGAGCTTTTTGGAGAGGGTCTCCTGGAGGATACTGGCTTCATGGAGAAAGTCTGTTTTCAGGATTTAGAGGAACAGAAGATAGAAAGCTTTATGTCCTTCACATCTGCAGGACAATTTCTTCTGCTGTCTGTTTGTTGTAGCCCAGGTTCCAGTTCTGGTTTTGTGGTTGAATTACAGCATTTGCAGCTGGATGTAGACAAGAAGACATTAGTTTCATACTTCTCAGCCCGTTTCAGTTTATAGGTCCACATATCTTGTACTTCCCCATTTTCTGGCTTAGCGCAGCACTCTGGGGGCTTGCTACCAGAGTAATAAAAATCTCATTTAAAAAGTCTGACCTTCTTTCCCACTCCCCATGCTGCTTGCTAGGTCTGTACTCTTGGGGTGGAGGGGATCTTCTGACTTGGGTGATCTCACTAATGTGTTTTGCAGTTAAGCAGGGGGAAACTGAAGGCGCTAGGAGTAGGAGGGGTGGGAAGGAGAAGAGAGCAGGAGATTGAGCAGTTCAGAAAGGAGCACTTGAACCAGGCGACCATGTGAAGCTCCAGGGCAATGCCCCCATTAGCCGAATACAGCCTGACAGCCCAGGACAGCGAGTCGCAGTCCCAAAGCCCTCCATGAATCTCTCCTGTCCTGTCGTGTTTGGCTTCTCGCATTTAAAGTTGCTCAGTTGTCAGAACAATTTTTCTCTTGCCTATGCTCCATCTATAATTCATTAAGAAACCCAGAGAGGTGAAGCTATTGTTTTTTTCCCACTCTTCCCCCTCTGGAAGGCGTGGGCTGAGCGTTGTTTGCAGCAGGACATGAATGAAACTGCTCTAAAACCCACGAGCCAAGGGGAAAGTGGCCAGAAAGGGACACGCTGCCACCTCCTGCTGGGCCACCAGGCCACAGCGTCTGCCTCTCACAAGCACAGCCTGTATGTGCATCACCATGAGCTCAGGCAGGTCTTTGCTCAGAAAATCCAGGCCCGATCCTGGACCTGAAGCTCGTTGGGTCTTTGAGATCCCAGGCTTCAGAGGTGTTCAGGTCTCAGTCCAAGCTTTTGCAGCAGCTTCCCCACTAGTTAAAACTCACACTCCATGTGCTCCCCGAAGTGGCAGCCTGTGTATCTGCTTCACTCCACATAGAAATGGGACCAAATTTATACTTGTCCATCATACATTCCCCTCATCATCAACTGAGGCTGAACTGCCTCAGCTCTGCTTTATCCCTGCAACAGTTGCAAACAAAAATAACACATTATTTACCATAGAAGTGCCGGTCATGCAACGAAATATCTGTTGTTCTGAAACCGCAAACATAATTGAGCGTTTAAGTGCAATTTTGAGGAAATGGCTACAGGTGTTATTTGTCATACGGGTTCCAATAATTGCAAATATTGATGTCTAAAAAGCAAAAAGAATTTCCCACAAGAAGGAGAAATGTTATCCTGTATAGTGGAAGGATTAGTTTTCTGAAGTGATAGGGACTTTGAAACATGAACACAGACTGTTTTCATTTTGCCATGGATGAAATAACCAGATTTCTTATTCAGATGTTTCAGGCCCATTTCTGTTACTCTTGTTTAGAGTTCAGCATCTCCAGGAGCTTGTATGGAAATATCTGTGGAAAGGGTGTATGGAGATATCTGTGGAAGAAATCTTCATCTTACAAGATCATCACATAGGAAAATCATTTTAAAAAAAACCCAAAACAACAAAACCAGTTCCTTTGACCATTATTCTGTCTCAGCAATGTCTTTGTGCAAGGTTGAACTGTTTGAGTCTGACAGCCTTCCAGTGGTGGAGGTAGGACCTCTTCCAGCCCGATGGATAAAGGGCCCCTTGTGAACTCCATCTGTAGCAACAGCTCAGTAACATCCAGCTCTGAAGCACCCTCGCAAGAGCCACAAATCCCACTTCCCGAACGGAGAGATTCACCAGGGGGCAGCACGATATCACTTTTTATTGTAAAAGCAGGAGTTAATAATTTTAGCTGTCTGAGTGCTTTTGGAAATTAGCTGCTTGTTGTTCCATCTTTATGACTGCAAGTAAGCTTCTCTTTAAAGCTAGCCTCTGTAGCAGCTCCAAAATCCAAAGTATTAGGCATACATTAATATTTTACAGTCCAGGCATTCACCTAGCAGAATAAGAAGGAGTCCAGTCCATTTTGTTTTCAGTGTGTCTCTCTGGCAGGTGCCTGCCCAGGGTTGGTTTGGCCAGCTGATGGGTACTAGTCCAGATTCAATTACTTCAGAAACTCTCCTGTGTTAAGGGCACCAACCTGAGTGAATACTATTTCAGCCTCATCTTTAGGGAGGCATTAAGCAGAAGGAGTAAGCCCTCTGATGTCACTACATGAGAAGGGTTCACAGAGGGTGAATGCAGAATCATAGAATCATAGAATGACCAGGGTTGGAAATGATCTTAAAGGTCATCTAGTTCCAACCCCCTGCTGTAGGCAGGGACACCTTCCACTAGACCAGGTTGCTCAAAGTCCCATCCAGCTGGGCTTTGAACACTTCCAGGGATGGGGCATTGATAGCTTCTCTGGGCAAGCTCCTACAGTAGCTCAATTGCCCTCACTGTAAAAAAAATCTTCCTGATATCTAAATAAAATATCTTCCTAATATACACTCTTTCAGTTTGAAACCATTGCCCCTTGCCCTGTCACTACGTGCCCTCGTAAAAAGACTCTGTCTGGCTTTCCTGTAGGTCCCCTTTAGGTACTGGGGAAGGCCAGGTTTTTTTATTTTATATTGACTTATGGTTGTCCTGTATGCTGCATAGCTTCTAGGTCCTCTAGCACTTACACCAAACTCTTGCCTTTCAAGGAGCTAAGAGGAGTCACTGGTCATGTCTTGCCTGCTCAGCTTCCTTTATGGAGGGCTTCATCTGTCATCAGTCCATTCCTAGTTATTACTCTATTCTATTTGCACAGGTAACTGGTGTCTCCAGTGGTTGCCTCCCCTGGTTCAAGTGCCACTGTACTTTTTTGTCCTTTTCTGACCTCTTTCTCTCAACTTACAGTCAAAGCAATTCTTGCTCTTTTCCTGTAAATTAACTACATCTTCTGTCTTCGGTCGTTCCCTTTGCTGTTTTGGCTTCTGCCTGGTGGGATGCCTCATGTCTAGCATCAGTCTCACACTTCACTCCTGACATCATATGTAGGTCTCCCTTGACTGTCTCTCTCTGATCTCAGTCCTTTTGAAGTTCAATCTGAACTCCATCTGCTCCTGCTCATCCCAACACTTCCTAACTCTGTACTGAAGTCTTCAAAGATGCAGCTTTTCCATGGGGCTGCTCCCCATGTAGCCTTAGCTTTCCTTAGCTCAAATATTATCTTTAAATAAAGGCCAGGAGCCTTAAGAATATATATTTAGAATGAAAGAATAATTTTTCCCACCACAGTAGCTTATGTTACACTGCTTAGTCTTCTGAGAGGAGTATAGTATTGTTCTCCAGAGTAGGTACAAAATTATGAACTTTGTAGAATTATTTAATATCTTTCAAGGCAGCTCTGTGTCTGCTTTTAAAGGAAATAAATATGTGTTTCTGTTTTAAGAAAATAATTTTTAAATCCCTATTCTTTTTCTTTTATTTTTATTTGCCCACTATTTGGGGGAAAAACAGTTTCTTTTTTCATTTGAATTCCTTTTTATTGCTGGGGAAGACTGAGGAAGAAAAGACAACAAAAATGTCTTTGAAAATTCACAAAAAATAAAACTTGAAAAGAAAAATGCTTTTTGTTCAAAGCCCTTAACAAAGGTTTGGAGTCAGTTAAGGCAGCCAGCGGTGTGCTTTGTAATGTTTTCTAAATGACGACTTTTGCCATCTTTTCTTTGTTGCTTCCCATTTCAAGGTATATCCGTGCCATTATTATCTAAAAGAAAAAAAATTAAAAAGCTTTTATCCACTGTGGATTTATTAGTAAGAGCTGCTACCTCTTGGAAGGAGTTCAGAAGTATGATCCTACATGGTCAAAAACAATGAGCCCATTTTATGCAGGAACAGAAATGTCACTTGTAAAGAAAGCCTGTAAATGGACTTTGCATAACCTCTTCCTGAATTATGGAGAAACTGATACCTTCAGCAGTGCAGAATGAAATACCTCTTTTTAATTTTGCCATGTCAACAATGTATTACATTAAAAATATGTAAAGAATCCTGGAATATATTGTATACCAAAACTTGTATCGCCTAAATTGTGTTCACCTGGGATGTTTCTCCAGGGGCTGCTCTGCTGTAGCAAAAGCTGTGTTTATTCAAGTTGTTGAAAACCACTTTGTCTGCTTTTCTGTTGTTTTCTTAGACTCAGGTGGGGAGAAGCAAAAAAAAGAAAGTTCCATATTGTTACTCTCCAGACATGCTATTCAGAAAATACAACTAGATCTTACCTGCTGCAAGAAAGGTGTTTGTGGTATTCCTTTCAAAGACTTACGAAGATTATTTGCCATTACACTTTAAGACTTGATTCACATGTAGACAGGAGACATTGAGAGGGAAGAAGCTGCCTGCTGCAGCTCTCTTTTTGGCTTTTTAAATTTGTAGAGGTTGTAGTGGTTTTGAAAGCTCACTTTGCAATGAAATTAGCAAATATCACCACAAAATAGATTTTGTTCCTCAAAGTGGGTTTATAAACTTTTTCCTGAAAATACAGAGATATTGTACCTTTTTCCCCATTGATATTGTAGATAGGTAGCATCCTGCGTTAATATTTAGCAAATATGTTCTATGTTGATGTCAGAAATGTATCTGAAAATCTCTTGGCTGGCTGGCTTGTACTTGAAACTGGTTTTTGTACGATCTGGATTTGAAAATCTCTCCTGCCAGACTTGTAGCTGTCAGGTTCATTATCTTCAAAACTTCTATTAAGCTCTAACGTTGTTTTTCTTCCTGCAGAAACAGAAGGTGCATGCAGCACAGATGCCAGCCTTCTCCAAGGAGTAACCTCTTCACCCCCAAGTGACACTAGCTCCTGCTAGTACCATGGGGCCAGAGGGTGGTTTCTTGGGCAGTGGACAGATCCACGTCATCCTGTGGGGGAGTCTGGCAGCCATGACAACACTTTTGTTCCTCACCTTCCTCATCTTCCTTTGCTCCAGCTGCAACAGGTAAGGTTCAGGGACTTAGCACGCAGTAATGGCTCTCGTGTCACTTAGTGCAGAGATTGACGTAGCTTCACTAATAACTAGTTAGCAGGAAACACTGAGGACTTAAGTACAGAAATAGAAAAGGTACAGTACAAAATCTTTTTTCAGAGCAAAACTGAATTGGAACAGTTCTGTTCTTTCTAAAAGGCTTTTTTTTTTTTTTTTTTCCTTTTGCTGTGAAAGCAGCACACTGTTTTGTTTGCTTGGCAGTTTCCCCTAAAATGAAGCCATGAGCACAGGTGGACACTGACTGTTAGCAGATCACACTAATAAGCTGAAACTGAGAACATTAGGTGCGCTGAACAGAATCAAAAAAGTATAGGTAAAAAGGAAAGGAAAGCAATTTATATGTATTTCAGTTTTACTTTGGCCATTCCTGAAGTCTAGGGAATAGATCCTGCCACTCAAGCAAAATTGAGGAAGGATCAAATGGTGATACTAATTGATGTCTAATACCTCATACTTATTTTCTTCTCCAAAAGAGGGTTCAATTTCACCAGTACAGGCACTTCTACTGACTTTGTTTATTACATTTCAAGGCCTCTTCAGGACACGTAAGCTGAGCCCTGCTGACTGCATTGGGCAGCCTGCGCTTCATCCACGGTGCCCTTCCACCAGGCCAGACCCTTCCCTATGAGGAGTGGGACTGCTGTGGTCCATATTGCTGTGTTTTACAAGCATAGCTCAATGAGCCAAATGTATGGGGGGAAAAAAAACCCTATCCGTGATTCAATACAGAACAAAATCTATGGTTTGGATGCTTATGCCTATGGGAGCATGTGCTTTCACCCTTCAGCACTGAGAGCGTTGAGGGAGCTGTGCGGCCACTCAGAAGAAATGCTTTTATAAGCCATTAGGTGATATTTCAGTATCTTCCTATTGCCACAGTTTCCAGTGATATCTGAGTAAAAAATGGTAGAACTATATATTTTTAATTTATTTAAAAGTAAAAATCTACTTTAAAAATTCTTTAGCCTGGAAACGTTGCATTTAGGTACTATGTTTGATCTTAAAGGCCTTTTCTAACCTAAATGACTCTATGATTCTGTGTTTTGTCTTGTAACATACCAGTCCTTGAAACATATCTAGAAAGACGAGTCAAACCACTGAGTATGTGTTTGCAATTAGAGATATACATTGCCAGAAATATTCTGGTGATGTTCTTTTATGAATTCTTGTGTTGCTAGTCTGGACACAGTATCTTTTATTTCAGGTCATTCTGTAGGGCAGGTTGTTTACACATAGATGAAATTATGCAAACTTTCTTCCTGGCTTACTCTTCAAAAACGGATGAGAACATGGAAAACTGAATAAAATCTGTTCTAAAATATCAATCAGAAAAACTTACAGAGGAAATTAAGCATTTAACTTTCACTGTTCTGCATTGGTGCAGCCTTACTTGCTGTTTTCTTATTTCCCAATTAGGTAGAATTTTAACAATTGCTAATGTGGGAAGTTCAGTTCCCTACAGACTTTAGAAGAAGCACGGGTTTCATGTTGTCAATATTTTCTCACCTTTTTACTTACCTTTTCATCTAGGGGAAGTACTAACATTACTTTAAGCTTGTTATTAGAATATTTCTAAATAAGAGCTGTATTTCCAAAGTTGTAAAAACTGTAAACATGAGTCCTGTGAAGTACCCCATGATGCAGGATTTCTTTAAAAATTTAGAGCTCTGCTGCTATGAAATTTGTAGGCCCTTTCGAATTGTTCATGCTTATTATTAATTTTAACTAGCATTCGGAGTGGGAGTAGGCTGGATTTTTTTGGCCTTTTCTAATTCTTCATAGAACAAACATGTTTTACTGACACAGCAGAAGGAAGTCCCCAGTAGTCTGTTAGCAAAACGTGTATCTGAGCATTTCAGATATGATTAAATTAAATATAATAATATTTTTATTATCATAGAATGGCTGGGTTGGAAAGGACCTTAAAGATCATCTAGTTCCAACCCCCCTGCCATGGGCAGAGACACCTTTCACTAGACCAGGTTGTTCAGAGCTCCATCCAATCTTGCCTTGAACACTTCTGAGGATGGGGCATCCACAACTTCTCTGGGCCTCTTGTTTCAGTGTCTCACCATCCTCCCAAATAAAGAATTTCTTCCTAATATCTAATCTAAAGCTACTTTTTTCAGTTTGAAGCCATTGCCCCTTGTCCTGTCTCTACCTGCTCTGGTAATTATTTACATTATCTTGTAATTATCAACAGTCACTCCTCACTTTGATCTTACACTGAATGAGAAAAAGCTTTGTGTGTGTTTGTTGTACCTCTTCAGAGGTCATACCAATCCCTGTAATAATTTTCAGTTATTCCATTTTCAATATTATTGTGAATTGCAGTTCTGTTCCCTGCAGCTGTGTAAGGTCTGTTAACGATTGGCATTCATATATAAGCATAATTTGTAGTAACAGTTTATGCGCCTTTTTCATTAAGGGAAAAGAAGGCCAGACATCAGAATGGAGATCATGAAAATCTGATGAATGTGGTAAGTATTTATTTCTGGCAGCTTGTGTCTGTCTTGTGGTTGGTTTGTACCAAGCTCCTTGCAAAATACCACAGATTAGAAAATAGCTCAGGAATTTCGAGGAGGTTGAGCAAGGGAGCCTTTAAAAGTTGCAGAACAGGAAGAGGAGGAGAACTTATGTAGATCCTGATAATCTGCACTTTCCCAGTGCTCTTTCTTCCACTGTTGCACTCCAAATCTCCTGCCTTTCCTTCACTCTGTTTGCAGCACAAGTGCAGTATACCCTTTGCCAGCTGCTCCCTTCTCAAGGAAGATCACTCTGGACACGCTTGCTTTTATTTGCTTTAACATCTGTAAACACAGGCACCTAAATCTTTGAGTATAGTTGGCATGGTTTGATCTCCTGCCAGTAATACCTATGAGTCAGAGCTCCAGAGATCAGAATGAAATTTGTTGCGTATCTATTCATGTGAGCATTTATTCTGATCCTATGGTTAATAATTTGTGTTGCAGCCTTCTGACAAGGAGGTTTTCAGCCATTCCATCACAAGTTCAGCTACAGAGCCCCCCCCAAACAGCGAACAGAACGGGGCACTCAGCAACGGTGAGGGTGAGTAGCGGCAGCCCCTGTGGGTGGGACGGGCGAGCTGCACCATCCCAGTGCTCACAGCTCCCACCTTAGCTGCACACTGATGATCCCTCCCTTAGCTGCACACTGGTGATCCCTCCAGTCTCAGGTTTCTCGCCGTCAGCTTTCCAAGCACACAGTCGTGCCATTTGTCTGAATACTCTGCTCAGCTCTGAAGGCCTGACACCAGATCACACAGAACTTATGGCCAAGTTAAAAAATGCTGTGACCTCATTTGCCTTGCTGGTAAGTCGATGGAGATGATCATCCCATGGAGATGATGGTGTTTTGGGCTGCATCTTCTCTGCTGGGTGTGCTCTGGGACAGCCCTCTACCCCAGCTCCCAGTCCTCCATGCCAACCAACACTGGGAAGGTGCTACGGTCCTCCCCTGGGCCACCAGGCCTCGGCCACCAGGCCATAGCTGCAGAGTGACCAGGCCATCAGGCAAACAGTGTGACATTCCGTAATCATGGCAAACTATGGAACTGAGATAAAACCAGAAGATGTAGTTGTACCTTAGAGCTTCAGAAATGCTCCAGGAGACTGTGGAAATACTTCATGTCCTCCAGGGACTACGGTTTGGGATCACAGTCCTGCACTGTGAGAGGCTCTCACTTATATTTTTGTATTTTAGAAAACAGGCAACATAAATAGGCTTCTTTTTTTTTTTTTTTCTCAGTCTTTGCTTTGCTGAACACTCAAAATGATTCACCCTGAAGTATCACTGGAAAATATTTTATTCAGCTGCACCTAAAAATAAACTCACTCTAGCTCAGAGCCACTGGAAGCCAACTGTTGTCTTCACTCTAGCCACCAACACTGGCGGCTGCACTCCAACTTACAGCTCACCTCCTCATCTCCTTCTTTAACTAGAGGCTAAGCTATTCAGCCTTTACCCCTCAGACACAAGTATCCAAAGATGTTTTTAACTTTGTTTTTGCAGCTAATTGCTGCTTCCATCCGTTGGCTTGTTGTGTACTTAGGTGTGTCATTCCCAGAGGCACTCGGTGCACAGATCAAAGCCCTGTAGAAGGGAAGGATTTCTCTCTACCATGAGTCACCACATGTGCAGCTGTCAGAGCTGCTGTCAGCCAGCAGACAGTTTTCAGACTGTCTGATATTACTCAGCTTACACTCTGCGTAACATCCCTTCTGAATCACGGGAACCAATGCGCTTTAGTTTCTCACTTATATTTTATGCGCTCTTTTTGTTAGTAGTTCTTTTTATTACTGTTTCTGCTGGCTTTTTGAGTAGGGACAGGGCTACAGAAGCAGAACCATCAAATGATGTGGTTTTTTCCTTTACCCAGCCTGCCAGCACTGTCTTATCTATGCCAACCCCTTAGCTACACTAACCATTTTTGTGCTACTACCCATAACCACAGAAGCACAGAAACACGAGCTCTCATTACTTCTGATTATCCCCTCCAGGATGAATGGGGGGGGGGGTGCTGTCTGGGTTCTGTGGCGGTGCTCTGCACAGCACAGAAATCCCTGAAGCAAGGGCCAGAAAAGCAAAACATGTTCCAGATTCTCCAGGATGGTTCCTGACATCCTCCAGAAAATCTACAGTCATCCTAGGCAGTGAGTAGGACAACTTGCTTATCTCCTGTTCCTCCTCAAGTTGTATGCCGGAGCTAAGTAAATAAAGGAGGATGTTTTCCTTCTCCCATCTCCCATTCAGACAGTGATTGCCATCTTATACCTCCAGTTCCATCCTGAGTTTTGCAGTCAGTCACCTTTGCAGCTCCTTGCAGGCGCTGACCGTGTCTGCATGCCCAGAATGTAGAAAAAGCAACATCCGTGGCAACTACCAGATCAAGATCAGTGATTGCTTTGGCAACACTTTATGTCATCATGTCAGACACATGGAGGGACATGTTGATTTTGTTGAGAGAGTACCACAGGAACCTAACAGTAAAAATATTGAGAAGAAGTAAAGCTATTCAGAAGTGGTTTTTTAAAGAAATAGTGTAAAGTTCCATACCATACATTACCTGAAACATGCTTGTATATGCCCATGTATACATCCCTGAATGAATGCAAATGTCATACATGTGCAGTGTGGGATGAGAAGCCCACAGATTTCAGTCTTTAATACCCTCTAGTGATAGTGACACATGGCCTGCTTCTGGGACTTAAGACAACATGTTCTGCCTAACACTACTTTCTGAAGTCTAGTCTTCTCTTTTGTGCATATGGCCAGCTTGTTAGTAGGTTGTCAATCTACATTATGTGCTGCGAGACTAAGAGAATTATGGCATAGCCTTCCGGTGAGGAGCTTCTGGTGTAGCATGCAGGGAGTCTGGCTGTGGCAGGGCTGAGCGAAGTGCAATTCCAGTGAGAATTTGGCCAGCATGTTAAACAAGGTGACGGATGGGTAGGGAGAAAGCAAGAACACTTTCCTTTTGATTCCAAAGAATAGGAAAATGGAAACAGGAAAATCTAGCAAGGATTTTTTTTTTTTTTAAATCTGGTAAGGATTTTTTTTTTTTAAATCATGAAGGATTTTTTTTTCAAGACTTCGTTTGAGGCTTCCCACGTGTTTCCCATCTGAGACTTCTGAGCATTTTGTAATCATTCAGTGAAACTGAGTACAAGGCATCTGAATATCCATGCACACCTGCACCTACTCTCCTTGTCTCCTGTTCTTACAGTAAATGCTCTTGCCATATAATGTGACTTTGGGGTGTACAGACTGTTTTAGATGTTGTGAGAAAGATATTTTAGCAGTGGAGTGCAGAAATCTGAAACTTTTTGATAAACAAAAAGCATGATGACCACTAGACATTTCCAGGCAGTAGTATCATTTATCCCTTCCCCTGTGTCACAAAAACAAAGTGATGTAGAGAGTACCAAATCACACTGACCCGTTAGTTATGCATTTGTTTGAAATATTTCTTTGTAATTTTCTTTAGTTCTTTCCGAAGACAGTACAACTGCCTGTATCCAGCCTTATGAAGAAGTACAGACGTCTGATCTACTAGATCAACAGGATAGTATTGGAAAGTCTATAAAATGTCACCAGAGCCGGGAACTACCCAGTATTCCCCCTAACACCACCATGGAAACCATCATCGCAGCTAGAAATGCAGAAAATGACCAAGGTCTCGGAATGGAAGGGCCCTATGAAGTCTTGAAAGACAGCTCCTCTCAGGAGAACATAGTTGAAGACTGCTTGTATGAAACTGTGAAGGAAATTAAAGATGTTGGAGCAGTAGTCAGCATGGAAGGGAACTGTAACAGCAAATCAAAGACTTCGGTGACAGTGTCTGAAGGTCAGACTCAGATTCCTGACTGCAGAATTGAATCAGCAGAATATGCATCTGTTGACCGAAATAAGAAGAGTCGCCAAAGCGCTAATTCAGAAAGTCCTCTTGACAACATACCAGATGTAGAGGATGAGCTTCCCCCTCCGGTACCCATGAAACTTCTCGATGAAAATGAGAATGTGCAAGAAAAAGAAGTGGAAGAAGAAGTGACAGAAGGGGCAAGTAAACCCGAGAAGGTAAATACTGCAAATACTTGTCCTCATCAAACAGCCAAATAATGATACAGAATGTGGGTGGGAGAGGATTTTATTTCTTAGTAACAAAAAATGCCAAGAAAAAAACCAGCATTTAAGGTGATGCAAGACTGAAGTAGAGAGCTATGAAAGTGTACAGTATAGGCTTTGCATTATAGACGTGTACTCATTCTGTTGCAGCCTGTATTTTTGATTGTTGCAGTTTTGCATTACATAAAGCTTTTCCCAAATGTTATCCAGAAATTGCGTAGGCAGCCTCTACATCTTTGTTTAGCATACTTTTGGAAGCTATTACAACGGGTATCTAGTATCTCTATCAGCATCTATATCTTGTTAAGACTCCCCCTCTTCTTTTTTTCTAATGAAACCACAATTTACAAAAAGGAGAGGGGGGCATCTTTGGTGGATGCCCTGACTTTAGATGTGCCTTCTTTGTTGGGCCACCTTGACGTTGCCGTGGAAGTGTTAGGCACCTGCTCAAAGCTACTCTTCTTGTCTCTCTCTGTAGGAGAGAGGGACAGAAAGAGAGAGAGATTGCAGCAGTAGGCTTTTATATTTGTCAAATCCTGTATGTCACGTATAAACACAGTAATGAATTTCTACCTGCTGAAATCATGGTCTAAAGTTAAGTTTTCTCAGCAGCTTAATTTTTTCTGGCTAGGAACAAGTTGGTGAAGTCCTTGAAAAACAGAATGATGACATTTTCAACAATTTATTTTTCATCTCTAGTTTTTAACCAGAATTCATTTTAAGGAATGCTTTCAGTTCATTGCATGGACCTTTCATAAACTGTTGAGTTTGCATTTTTCAGAACTAGTTTAGATATTTTCTTAATTTTGAATGAAAGAACTGTGATTTTAGATTTTTGGTGTCTGAGTCATCAAATAATATTTTGTATTGATGAACATTTCAAAAAAATTCTTACAATGTATTTTTTAATATTAACATTTAACAGAAAAATCAAAGCAGAGCTGAGGTATTTTTGTTTGTTTCTGGTTGTTCTCTTACTTGAAATATTTCAGTAATCCAGGCAAAAGGCAAAAAAACCCCTTGTTAAATAACTAACTAGCCATGTAACCTGTAAAGCACAATAGTGTCCAAATGAATAAACAGAAGACTACTCGTAATACAAAAATTGTTTAGCTGGACTCTTCAGTGCACATTCTTACAAATAATGAGCTCATCAAGTAAAAAAATAAGACATGATTGTCAACAATAATCCACCAACATTCACCCCTCCCAGATTCAGGCCATAAGTAATTTCCAATTAAACTTTTAGAGAAACAGATTTCTGTAACAGTGACACTTTTCCTACCAGGTGTGAAAAGACTTGCAGAAAAACATTGTGTTTCCCAGTCACTGATACAAAGGGAAAAGCCTTTGCTGCTCTGTAGCTCCCCAGCACACCATGTACGCAGTGTCAGTAACTGCAAGGAGTGGAAATTGATTAAAATGGTTCAGGTTTTGAAGGATTAATCAAGAGATGACACATGCAGTCCCCTAAGTGCCAGAAAAAAGGTGTTTGTCTAATTAAAATTTATTCAGAGCTGAAGCCATCCCGAGTTAAAGCTTTGGCAGCATCAGATCATTCCCGCGCTTGCTGCTGGGTACATGCATTATGCATCGAAGCGTGTGCCTGTCCTGTCCTTGAGAGCTACAGCTGCAACAGAGTTGGAAATGGTAATTGATGGAATATATAAATGTCATTATTGTTGGCATTGTGTGGGGAGGTGGTTGCGGGATTGTTTTTCTGTTGTGATGATGATAATTTTCCCCTCTATTTTGCGGCTTCAAACAATGCAGAGCAATGCCTGTTTTTCTCCATGTGGCAACCCAAACCAAGATGTTTATGGAAATGTATGTTGTATTGATAACTCTTTCAGTTAGACACCATAGGTGTTTCTTTTTGCTTCCTCTCCTGTGGGGCTACTTAGCTGCCCTTTTTAACATGACATCTGTATCCCAAACTCTTCAACCTTCTGCCCCGGCCCTGATGAAGACAGTTTGTGTGTAAGTCATGCAAGACTCCATCACAACAATTAGGCTTTGCTTTAATAGGGCACAAAGAAGGGACAAGCAGTGAGGCTATTTGTGTAACCAAGGCTTGTACCTGCCAACCAAGAGAGAACAGATCATGTCCAAGCTGTTTCAGTCTCACCTTTGAAAAGAGGGCAACCAGGGTGATCCCCAGCCCATGCCAGTTCCCAAAGCACACAGATTTGGGAGAGAGCTAGGTGGACCAAGCCAGAGATCATTTCAGTATATAACAGCATGAAAAGGATAAAGCATCTTTCTAAGAGCTGGGTGTGCAATAAACAGGTGAAAATTAAGTATCCAAACTGGTTATTGACTGTGACCCAGCCAAATCTTTTGTAAGACTTTGATGAAGAAGGACACCTTTATTAGCACGAGGCTT